CCCGGGGAAGCACGATGACATCGGCATCTTGCTTTGAAGGAGAAGTGGTTTCTGCCATTACGATATGGGAGGAGGAGTCGACTATTTAGCACTTGTGATGTGTTTGGCAGATGCTATGGTATATTTGGCGGCAGTCAAGGCAAAGATGATGTATGTGATGAGAGGTTGGTAAGAAGAGAAGGGAGATATGCTGAAGGCTGGAGCAGTCCTGTCAAATATAGTTGACAGTTCGCTAGCTGCAGTGAAGTGATTGGTGAAGCATCATGTGTTAATTGTGACCAAGATCAGCCCAGCATTCCCATCTCTTTATCATGGAGCTGTTGAGGATGGAGGTTTTCACTTCGCTGGCAAGTAACACTGAAGCGAAGGTGCCCATGGATATTTGATGTAGCTCGACAATTCGGAGATGAGAGTCTTTTCAATCAAACGGTCTCTGGAGCCGCACACGCAGGTCATACTGTTTACTTGGGGAATGTTGGGCTAGGATTGTTAATCCGATGGCATGGAGTCGGCATCCTTTCCCATGGATGGAAGCTTACAGCGTTCCACCAACTCGACGCGTTAATCAGCAGCAACTGGAAGAGAAGAATAATCTCCGCACACTGAAAAGTATGTAACTGCCGCCTAAAAATGCTGGGCCAAAGGTGATCCTGTATACTGGTTCATCCTCATCCCCATTGACATTCCCCGGGCTGCCAGAACAGGATGGAGCGCATGATGGATAAGAGAGATGAGAACTGCCACGGGAAATCCTCTACGATATAGATATTCATTCTCATTCTGGCATCTACAATCAGTGGACATTGGGATTAATGGATTTTGATAACCCCTAGTACTCCTACTACTAGTACTTTCATGCAGTGAAATACATCTTGACATCATCTTGTTGCAGACCCTGGCTCAGCCACAAGCCCTACACGCCGCACCGCCACAACGGCCTTCTAAATAGGGATTAGCGGGCTTGGCAATATGCCTCTTCAGCCCACATTGTCAAAAGTCGAGAAAAGCGTGAGGTGTCGACTCTGCTTTTTTTCTTCCTCCTCCACCTCACCCGCTCCTCTCCGCTCTTCCTCACCTTCGCCCTCTCCCGTTCGTCTCCGGCGGTCTTTGGGATTACTCTTCTCCATATCTCTCGACAGATGCTCAACCGCTCTGCCCCGCTCTGCAGACGATAGCTTAGCTTATTTCCGCTCGCGTTCGCACAACACCAATTTGTTTCAAGCGTTGGCATTTACTTGTCAAGCTCGGGAGAAGCAAATAAAGGAAAACAAAACGCAAGCAAGTGAGAAAACGAGATACGGATTTCTGTTCTTCTACTTTGCTGGCTTGAGGATATTGGCCGTGTTTCAGCCACTGCGCTGCGAACCTCATACAAAGATAAACACAATAAAGAAGATAGTGACCCACCAAGTTTCGAATCGGAAGAAGCAGCAGAATCCGCTCTCCTCGCCGCACGAACAATCATTAAATCATCACGTACTCCGCAGCGGTTTAGAGACTCGGAATCCTGACCTTTGAGATTACCGTTTGTCTCTTGGTTAAGTCGTCCCTGAGGTAGCTTGGTCTTAAACTTTCTTATGAACTGTGGCTTTGAGTAGCCATGGCAGCTCCGAATCAGTATGCATGTGGGTATTTCGTCTATGATCTTTACCAAATCCTTATATCCTTGACTTTTGCGGCTTCAATTTGTACAATTCATGTTGAAAAATCATACTGATGCCTATGCAGATCGAACGCAGAAGGGAATTTCAATCGTGGATGCGGCTCCAGTCTATGAGTCCTTACCCGGGTTTACGAGGTAAGGACTAGCGGGACTCTACGGAATGTGAAAATTAAGCGGGTGCTAATTTAATATAATCTTGAAGGCCGGATGGTAACTTGCGCTGCTGCACATACTCCCCGTGTGGCCGATATTTTGCCTGGGCGGCTCCAGAACGGTACGTGCATGTGCACAACTCCCCCCCAGTGTGATATTTCTAAAGTAAATATTTAAAAACAGCGTCGTAATCGTCGACCCTTCTGTTGGCCATGTCATTGCCACGCTCCCCTCCGACAATGTCTATGAATTGGGCTTTTCGCCCCTTGGAACATATATTATTACATGGCAACGACCTTCGAAGGACGAGAACGGCGATGCCGTCAAAAATTTGAAGGTTTGGAGGGTTATTGAAAGCTACCACGATGATGAGGTGAACGAGCAAGAACACTCTTTCGTCGGAAGCTACGTGCAGAAATCCCAGACTGGTTGGAATCTTCAATATACGGCTGATGAGAAGTATTGCGCCCGAGTCGTCACCAACGAGGTTCAATTCTATGAAAGCGGAAACTTAGGGAAGGTGTGGAACAAGCTAAGGGTGGAAGGAGTAGCGGATTTTGCTCTTTCTCCGGGAGACAGCAACTCAATTGCGGTTTTCATTCCAGAGCGAAAGGTTAGTCAACGCTGGTATACATTCTATTTCTGTCGTTGCTTTTGCTTAACGCCATGGTCGTTGATCTAGGGACTACCAGCATCCGTGAGGATCTTTAACGTACCACAATTCGATACACCTGTCTCACAGAAGAATTTTTTCAAAGGTGATAAGGTTCAATTGAAGTGGAACAACACTGGAACGACCCTCATCGTTCTTGCACAAACGGATGTCGACAAAACTGGTAAAAGCTACTACGGGGAAACTACTCTTTATCTCTTGAGTGCTAACGGCGGATTCGATTCAAGAATCGATCTTGGTGAGATACACTAAGCTCTTTATGTAAACGGACATATTTCGTTAGCTAACTTCAAGTCTATAGATAAGGAAGGACCAATTCATGATGTGACCTGGTCCCCGAACTCGAAAGAATTCGGTGTTGTTTATGGATACATGCCTGCAAAAACGACCATTTTCAATAATCGTGCCGTCGCAACACACTCATTTGCCCTCGCGCCTCGCAACACCATTATCTTCTCGCCCAATGGACGATTCGTAATTGTGGCGGGCTTCGGTAATCTTGCTGGGCAATTGGACATTTATGATCTAGACAGGGATTATACGAAGGTAGCTACGATCGAGGCATCCAATGCCAGCGTGTGCGAGTGGAGTCCCGATGGCAAATTCATTTTGACTGCCACCACGAGTCCCAGACTCCGGGTTGATAATGGAGTACGCATTTGGCATGTCGGAGGTGGGCTCATGTACAACGAGGATTTGACTGAGCTGTACCAAGTCTGCTGGAGACCACAATCTACAACTGTTCACCCTCCAGACAATCCATTCCATCCAATGCCCAGCCCTCACCCTTCTGCGCTAGAATACCTAGCTACGAAGAAAGCGCCTTCGAAGCCAGCAGGGGCTTATCGACCTCCCGGTGCACGCGGTCAAACCACACCACTAGCGTTTAGACGAGAAGATGAAGGAGGGGAGAAATTCGTCAGGGATGAATCGTCATCTTCTATTCACGGTACCAGCTTAAATGGATTTGGTAAAAACAGGCGGCGCGTCGTCCCAGGCGCAGAGCCAGTTACGGAATATCTTCCGCCCGGCGCTGCTCCAGGAGGCGGGGTAACACTCCCTCCTGGAGCAGAAGGGGATGAAAAACTCTCAAGATCCGCGGCGAAAAACAAGAAGAAGCGTGAAGCAAAGAAAGCAAAAGAAATGGCAGAAAAGGCTGGTAATCTCGCGACCGATGCTGGCATTGACTCAACTATTCCAACGGGTCCTAGCGCTGACCGCCGGGAACGAAGAGCTCACTCGCGCAGCCGATCTCGGGGCAATAATGTTAACTCTCCAGCTCTTGATCCCAACAGCTTCGGTCGTCAGAACCGCGACCGCAGCCGCAGCACCCACCACAGACATCGCAGCGATCATCAAAACCGCACCAACGGTGGGCCTCCCACAGGCCAGAATCGCCCCAGTGTTAACACCCGTACCTCGCAACCCAACGGTACGGCAGCCGCAGCAGCTGTACCAAGCCCAGTG